TCACGTTTAGACTTTAAATTACATTTTACGCTCTTCGATGTTTCCATCATTTTTGTGTACAAAAAAAACAATTTGGTTTCACGCTTGCATTAGCCGAGATTTAGCTTTAGATTATGTGCTATATATATATATATATATGCATATGTATGTATGTATATAGGTGTATAAGTAGATATATCGTATCGTGTATAAATAATTAAAAAAAAATCTCTTTACGATGTACGAACAAAAAATACTTGCGCTCAATTTTAGACATGAAACAAAACCTTTACATCGAGGAGTGGGTGAGTGGGGGAGGAGGATAGGGTTGCAGGGAAACGCGAGAGAGAATCGATTCTTGATCCTCTACTACTGACGCCGCACAGTCCGCTCCCGATCCCGCTCCCGTTCGCGTCCGCTCTCTTCGCGCTGCAGGCTGCCATGCCTGGTGGGCGGTGAGGTGTTGCCGGCGGGGCCGCCCGCTCCAGAGCCACCATTGAGTACACGCGCCTTGCGCGATCTCTTGAACTTGGCCATGTCCTCGCCAAAGACGTCGCCCGTGCGCAGGGCCGAGATGAGGTCATCGAACTCGCCCTTGTTGTCGCCGCCGCCGCCACCCTTGGCCGGTGAGTCGCCGCCATTCGTGGGCGACGAGGACTTCAGGCCAAGATTGCGGGCAACGCTGCTCATGAGGCCGGTCTTGTTCTTGCGATCGATGGTCCGCTTTTTGAGCTCGGCCTCCTGCTTGGCCCGCTTCTCCTCCTCCTCCTGCCGTCGTCGGAAGCTCTCGTTGTCGTGACGCGCCTCCGCAAAGGCGCCCAGGAACGAATCAAAGATGCCAAAGAANATGTCCTCGCCAAAGACGTCGCCCGTGCGCAGGGCCGAGATGAGGTCATCGAACTCGCCCTTATTGTCGCCGCCGCCACCCTTGGCCGGTGAGTCGCCGCCATTCGTGGGCGACGAGGACTTCAGGCCAAGATTGCGGGCAACGCTGCTCATGAGGCCGGTCTTGTTCTTGCGATCGATGGTCCGCTTTTTGAGCTCGGCCTCCTGCTTGGCCCGCTTCTCCTCCTCCTCCTGCCGTCGACGGAAGCTCTCGTTGTCGTGACGCGCCTCCGCAAAGGCGCCCAGGAACGAATCAAAGATGCCAAAGAATTCGTCCGGCTGCAGCACGGATCCATCTACACCGAACAGTCGAACGGCCCGATCGAAGCGCGTCTTCATGTCCTGGAACTTGTCCTCCAGCTCGGCAAAACGCACCGATGCCTGCGTATGGAACTCCCGCATGACGGGCAGGAAGCGATCGCCCTGCTGTGCGGGCCCCGAACTCCGATGGAACTCAATCTCACGGGCCACATCCGCCAGCCCAGTGCGCAGCATCTG